TAGCTAAGCACTGTATATAAGAAAAATAACTATCAGAATGATTCTATGTGCCTAAAAGGCAGACAGATTCTCCAAAAAATGTCAAGAGCTTTAATTTTCCTGTAAAACAAGGTAAAAAGAGAAAAGTCATAGATAAGTGATAATTTTATTTTTTTAATAAATTCATTTATTTTTATTTTTGGCTGCATTGGGTCTTCGTTGCTGCATGCGGGCTTTCTCTAGTTGCGGTGAGCGGGGGCTTCTCTTTGATGCGGTGCGCAGGCTTCTCTTGTTGTGGAGCATGGGCTCTAGGTGCGCAGGCTTCAGTAGTTGTGGCACACAGACTCAATAGCTGTGGCTTGCGGGCTCTAGAGTACAGGTTCAGTAGTTGTGGCACACGGGCTTAGTTGCTCTGCGGTATGTGGGATCTTCCCGGACCAGGGGTCAAACCCATGTCCCCTGCATTGGCAGGCGGACTCTTAACCACTGCACCACCAGGGAAGTCCCAATAATCAGTAATTTTAAATTGATGTTTCTAGGCCATGAATCTGAGAAGACTTTTTATTCCTTAGCATGAGAAATATTTGCTGCATATATAACACATTTTAAAAGCAGAAAATTTGATAAACAAATTTGGTCCACTGAATTAAAGCTGCTTCAAGAAGGGTTAATTCATCCTGGCAATAATTACTAACAAAATCAATTATTCCTGGTTAAATCATTGGTTAAATTTTTCATTAGATCATCAAAAATTTACTGTTCACACAAAAGGCGTAAAAATACAAAATCTATCAATTGGGAATTTGAGCACAAAAGCTTCAATATCAGAGTGCTATCATTTCCCCCCTTTTTGCTAGATCTACAAAAGCCAAGTTTATTCCCTCTGTTTCCTTTTTTAAGTAATTCTTCGCTTTGGGTGATAAATTAGAAAGACACTTATGTCTTGGGATCAATTTTGGAAAACATAAATATTGTATCTATAAGGAAGATATCTACCAAAATGCATGGAAAAACAGCCTTCTCTAAAAGGAGAAAAAGAGTCCTCAATTTCCATGAGATCAGATAGAAATGTAAAGGTCCAAGATTCTAGAGACCTTATGTTCCACAGCCCTGAATAACATGTCCCCAGAACTGAAGTATGCTTTATATTTTCAGTGGGTTGCTACCAATATGAAACAAATACCTGTTAATCTAACTGCAAAAGTAATTGTTTTCCTCTTTAATTAATGCCTTGAGTTATTTCCATCATTGGTTATCAGATATTGAATTAGGAGGCATAAGTGTAGTTCTTGTTTGAAGAAAAAAGGAGAGATTCTCAAAAGAATGAATCTCAACTAGACACCTGGTAGATAGAACTAATCCAGACTGCATATTAAAAAAAGAATAAGGGCTTCCCTGGTGGCGCAGTGGTTGGGAGTCCGCCTGCCGATGCAGGGGACACGGGTTTGTGCCCTGGTCCGGGAAGATCCCACATGCCACGGAGCGGCTGGGCCCATGAGCCATGGCCGCTGAGCCTGCGCGTCCGGAGCCTGTGGCCACTGAGCCTGCGCTCTGCAACGGGAGAGGCCACAACAGTGAGAGGCCCGCGTACCGCAAAAAAAAAAAAAAAAAAAAGGAGAAAGCATACCTGCTCTCTAAACTCTTTCTCATTCAAGAAACTAAATATAATTATACTTCCCAATCCCAGTCTTATGCTTAAGAATCTGGGCTAAAGCAGGGTGCTATTGTTCCCATGACCTTATCCCTAAGGAACTGGACATGACCTTGAGTGTGCATCAAAAGAAGTGAATGGCTTATTGTAAGCAGTTTTGTATCAAAGGAACTATGAGAGTTGGATTTTGCTAAACGGAACCCTCATTTACGGAGCCAGCCATTGAATATAGGTTTAATGTTCCAATCAACTAATTTTAAAACTTTGCACTCCATAAGGTATTTCTCCAGTGTCACCATATTAGTTGATAATGAGTGAATTAAACTTTCTTTCTCTAGATGAACACTCTATACGAATATAAAACAAAACTAAGTCCGAATTTCTTTTCTCTACTCTCCAGGCTGGTTTCCTTTTAGGAGAGGAAGGTTTAGGATGGAGCAAATTCACACCATTAAATTCGATGTGTGGAATGACTGGGCAGTTGAACTGTTTCACTGTCAGCAAGGTAGAAGTAATTTTTGCATCATTAGTGAAGATGCTGTAAAGGCACTGCTGTATCAAGGGAGACATGGAAGAAATCCCAAAGGGTCAGAATGTGGCTCTCTTGGTCCATCACAAGAAACTACAGCTGCTAGTGAATATATGCTCTAAAGTCAGAAAAAAAAAAAAGCTTCATATTCTCCAAGGTGACTACAACAAAGAAAAATTGGCAGGAGATACTCAATGGATACTTAAATCTGCCTCTGAGTTCTCTCAATCAAATTATAAATCTTTTGATTCTTCAATGTAACTGTTACTGCTTTGGTCTCACCAGGTTTGAGAGGAATAATAGAAATAATAACCGTCAGGTAACATAATATAGTCACTAAGTCCTCCAAACGAGTTTTAAATAACAAAACAATATAGCTACATACTGGCTTGTGATTTTTTTTTTTACTCTCCACATTGACTTAAATTTAAAGTAATAATGGAAAACTAAAATAAAAATTACAACAGAAAGGAATGTTCTTATTTTAAAAATAAGTATATTTGGAAAAGGGGCTAGTGGAATAAAGGGCTAAAAAATTAGCCTTTGTATAAGCAACTCTCTGATACTGAAGGCAGCATTAGTCAACTAAACACAGTAACAGTGACAAACACCACATTTTAAGGGTGTGCTCTATAGCAATGACAACAGTAATCCAATAGCCGAAATACAGCCAAAATAATGTGTAAGTCATCTAGGCGTTATCAAAAATCACCCACCAGGGGCACTTCCCGGGTGCTGCAGTGGATAAGACTCTGTGCTTCCCAATGCAGGGGACCTGGGTTCGATCCCTGGTCAGGGAACAAGATCCTACATGCATGCCACAACTAAGAGTTTGCATGTTGCAACTAAGGAGCCCTGGAACCACAACTAAGGAGTCCACCTGCCAGAACTACGACCCAGTGCAACCAAAAAAAGAAAAAAATAATCCACCAGAATACCCCTTCCCCCTTCCTTCCTTCCTCCCTCCCTTTCTCTCTCTCTCTCTCTCTCTCTCTTTCTTTCTTTCTTGCCACACTGCAGCTTGTGGGATCTTAGTTTCCCAACCAGGGATCGAACCTGGGCCCCTGGCAGTGAGAGCGCCGAGTCTTAAGCACTGGACCGCCAGGGAATTCATCAGAGTATTATTTTCTAAAATGTGTGAACCTTGTTTTGGGTCGCACTTCTATAGAAAGGAATCTTAAGATTAAGGCAGAAATCTAGAGTACTGCCTGGGTTCAGAAGATACCTGAATACTTAACAGTTTATAATCCAAGAGACTATTAAAAAGGACTACAAGGGCTTCCCTGGTGGCGCAGTGGTTGAGAGTCTGCCTGCCAATGCAGGGGACACGGGTTCGTGCCCTGGTCCGGGAATATCCCACATGCCGTGGAGCGGCTGGGCCCATAAGCCACGGCCGCTGAGCCTGCGCGTCCAGAGCCTGTGCTCCACAACGGGAGAGGCCACAACAGTGAGAGGCCCGTGTATCACAAAAAATAAAAAAAATAAATAAAAAAAATAAAGGACTACAAGCTTGCACTAGTGCCATATTCCTTTTGCTTGAAATAGTGACAAGTCATAAGAGAGTTAACATGTTTCTACTGTACTTATTCTAGAGAAGGAGAACTGATAGCTGTACTTCCAATACTTACATGTGACACAATCATACGTGTACGAATATAGAAAAAAAATATATAGTACATACACACATGCACACAAATACATATTCTGTGTAAGCATGAAAGCAAAAAAAACCCCCAAACACTAAGTTTACTCAAATATTTCCCCTAAGATCACTTTCCTGGAATTGTATAATTGAGAAAAGCTTATTACTTATTACTCTGAAAAAACAGTACAAATACTTCAAACTCAAATGTCTAGACAATTTGGCCTAGAATCACAATTCAAAAGTCAACTAAAAATCTCAAATATGCTTTCTAATTTGTTTTTCTATTTCTACTAATGAAGAATAGGATTTTAACTTTTTCCTAGTGTCAAAAGCTAAATTGGTCAGAATCAAGTATAAAGGATTTTAGGTTGGAAAAAGAAAATATTTGAGAAAAACAAGTGTAAAATCCAATTTTTTATAAGGCCATAACTGATTAAAAACGCCAACATCTACTTAAATCTACAGTATATGATTGTTATTGATAGGAAATGAGCTGTTTGCACTCCAAGATATTTTACTACAAGATAATAATCATTCTTAAGATGATAAAGTTCTAAAGTTAAATCAAAAGCACCAAATCAGAAAAAGGCTGTGATCTAACGACTTTTACATTCCCCAAGAGCTTTGGCATTTTCCTGAGTTTTACTGTGTAAATATGACAAAACCATACACCACTTCTGCCACAAAGACAAAAGCAATTACTCCATTAAACAATAATATTTTAAAATGTGAGGTGACAAAATAAAGACTTATATTCAAGTACAACCTTGAAGGTAAGAAGTGGAAGAAAAATTCTTAGTTTTAAAAGAGACAACAGTTCCTTTTCAGTAGTCTTCAAAGAACATAAGAAAGATGAAGCTTTTGGAGCCTAGCTTTTGGAAATTCAACTTGATGTAGTTCTCTACAGACAAAAGGATGAAGATGTGTAAAAATGTAATTCAGGTAAAAGACAGATGTCATGTTGGGGCCATTCACTCAGCCCTAATTTAGAGATGCCAAATTCATTTTTATATTTTAAAGGAGAATAATTCAACTTAGATTGTTTAATGTTTATCTGTAAATGTGAAGGCTTTCATGAAGGCTGACAAACCAGCCTAATAAATTTTTCTGCCTGGGATCAAATATCAACTAATCATCTGGCCAGTTAGAGAAATTAAAAAGTAAGACATACATGTAGGCACACACAGAATAGTTACCTTCAGTTGATTATTGAAAATATCAATCTCCTGTAGTTTTGATCTAGTTTCTTTCTCCACTTCATCCAGTTGGTCTCGTAGCTGCTGCCGAGCTAGTTCTTTTGCTTCTAAGGCTCTTTTGAGTGTAAGAAGTGAATCTCCTGTTTTAGAAAAACATCGCAAGATAAGAAAAACAAACTGGCAGTGAGGAAAAATGGTTTTTAACGTTCTCATTTCAATTAAGAAAATTATTGCCAGTAAAAAGGGAAAAAGTCAACTTTTATAAAACACCTACTGTGCAAACTGTTCTGCTGAACTTGTTTTAATTGGTCATTGAGTATCTGTTTTTCTGGAATAAGTCTTCCAAGCATTTGCTGAGACTCCTAGGAGAAAGAGAACACAGCAATGAATGATGGAGAAATCCACCATGTTCCTCATCCCTCAAAGACTCTCCTAATCTCAACCTGAATCCTCTACAGTGAAACTGTCAGGGTGGTTTCACAACTCAGTAGAGAAAATGGAAAGCAATGATCTCTCAATTGCACTGGGATCAAATGCAAATGCAGTGACCCTGCTGTTTGCAAACTGACTCAGTAGTTTAAACAGGAACTGTTCTGTCCTGAACTTTGAGCCTTAATAGGGTTGAACTGGATTACCATACACCTGAAGTTGGAAACAGAAATCAAAAAAGGACTTTTAACAATTAGAATCTTAGCTGCCATATATGTTTGTCCAACACTCAGGATAGAGGCACAATTTTAAACAGCTACACAAAAATCTTGAACCAACTGTTTTTTAACTGACATAGATAAAAGCTAAACCACATTGTACAAGCCTATTTGGAGTTTTCATGGGTGACTTGACAAGCAATTGTATTTGCCTAAGTTCAGCTGAAATTATTCAATATAGTTTCTACACATTTTAGAAAAAGGACAGATTTTCCAGGCTTTATTAAGGAATATTTGACTTTTATTTTTAATTTGATTTGAGAAAAAAATCTCTGTGTATTAACTTTTGGTTTGAAAAAATTAAAATGTCAATTAAAAATTTTCACTAGAGGCTAAGAACCAGTCCCTTTCTGGAACAACCACCTTTAAATATAGACTGGCTTGTGTGTAATAAATCTTTGTGTACTATATGTCTGAACAGTAGATACAGTTCAATGGAGAGGATTTGGTAGCATCTTCTCATATGAATAATCCACACAAACACATATACCCCCCATCCCCCAAAATTTGAACAAAACAATACAAAAGTCGATCATTTTCCCAAAAAAGCATAGCCAACTAAGCTTCTCCTCTTGTTCTCCTTGCTAAATTAAGGCAAGGCCTCTTACCCAATCCCAAAGATTCTTTCCTGAACCAGGACAAACAATGAAGGATCAAGATGAAGCCTGGCTCAGATCACTCAGATTGTTTATTTAAATGTTACTTTTAAATGGACTACCTGAGTTTCAAAAATAGGTCAAACCAATATGAAGGGCTACCTGACTCATTTGCAGAGCAAGAATCTGCTAATTACTGTAAAGAAAGGAAACAGATTTCTTATGGCCTACTATGTACCTGCCTTTCTTCAAACCATGTATTATTTTTAACTTCACTACTTTTTCAGGAACCTTGATTGGTATTTTATTATCAATAACAATATACTAAGCATCAATCTTAAATAATAAAAATATGTTTGGACACAGCGCATTCAGTGAGATAATAAACAAACACATGGCCTTCACTCCTAAATTTTCAACGGAATATTTTATGAAACTTCTCATAAACAGTTAATGAAAGACACAGAAAAACAGTTACCACAGAAAAGAATACACTTTTAAAAGGTGCATGCATTTTAAAGTATTTTCAAACGATTTCTAGCAGTGAACTTCTGATACTGTTTACATTATACGTCATATCCTAATATCTCAAATTGATTAGGACTTCAGTGATAATCAGTAAGGACACAGAAGACATGAACGACATCATGAATCAACTTGATCGACTGACATTTACAGGACACCCTACCCAACTTCAACAGAGTACACATTCTTTACAAGTGCACATGGAATATTCACCAAGACAGATCAAATGCTGGGCCATAACATAAGTCTCAATAAACTTTAAAGGGTTAAAATCATACAGAGTATGTTCACAGATCATATCATAAATAAATCAGAAATCAATAAGACAAATGAAAAAAAATCCAAGCATTTGGAAACTAAACAGCATAATTCTAAATAATTCATCAAAGAAATGACAAAGGAAATTTTAAAAAAGGTTTTGAATTGAGTGGATTTAAAAATACAACATATTCATATGGCTATGACAATGCTTTGAAGGAATTATATAATTTAAAATGTTATACATTATTAGAAATGAAGAAAGATCCAAACTCAATAATTTAAGCTTCCTCCTTACGAGGCTAGAAAAAAGCAAATCAAACCCAAAATAAAGAGATGGAAGGAAATAATAAGAAGCCTAAGTCAACGAAATAGAAAACAGACACACCACAGAGAAAAAAAAAAATCTATAAAACCAAAACCTTTTTTAAAAAAAACCAATCAATAAACCCAATATGCTCCTAGCTAGATTGATGGAGTAAAGGAGGAAGAGGGGAAGGGAGAGGAGGAAGAGGGGAAGGGAGAGGAGGAAGAGAAGGAGAAAGGGGAGGGAGAGAAGGAAGAAGGAGAGGAGGAATTGGAGTGGGAGAGAAAAGATACAAATTCCCAATATCAGGAATGAAAGAAGTAAAATCACTACAGATACTACAGACTTGCAAAGAATAATAAGAAAATATTATAAACAATTTTATACAAATAAATTTTTTAACTGAGATGAAATGTTCAAATTCATTGCAAGATACAAAATTATCAAAACAGACCAGAGAACAAATAGAAAACTGGAATAGCCTTGTGTCAATATCTATTGAATAAATTTTGCAATTAAAAGTTCTACCACAGACAAGACTCCAGACCCAGAAGGCTTCACTAGTGAATGCCACCAAAAATTTAAGGAAGAAACACAGTTAACCCTCAGTATCCATGGGGGATTGGTTCCAGGATCCTCTCAAGAGCAAAATCTGAGATTGCTCAAGTCCCTTATATTAAAATGGCATAGTGCAATCAGCCTCCCGAATCCTTTAATCTGCACATTTGGACCAACTGATCTGATACTGGAACCAGATAACTATTCCAGGAGGTGAGAGAAAGTTTTATAGAAACATACAGGATTTTAAGAGACAAGCTGATGGGGTTAGCTAGGAAGGCAGTGTAGTGTCAAGGTTGAGGTTGGATGTAAAGTCTTGAAGTCACATAGATCTGGATTCGAATTTGGATTCCTGTTTCCCAGCTAGAAACTCAATGCCAGAAACTGATTCTAGAATGTTCCCTTCTCGAACCTTCACTTTCTCATGTATAACATGAGAGTAATGATAGTGCCCTTACCAGATTACTGTGGGACTCTATTAAATATCCACATTAAGGTCTTAGCACTGAGCACACTGGCACATGCCAGGCTTTGGATAAATGGTAGCTACCACTACAGTCAGTCCACCATATCTGGATTCAACCAGCCTAGGATCGAATTTCAATTCAAATATGCCAATATGGAAGAACTACTGTACTATCCGTTTTACATAAAGGACTTGGAGGGCCCACAGATTTTGGTATCCCCAGGCAACTTGGAACCAGTGCCCCCACAGATATCAAGGAAAGACTACCATCATATATTTTTAGAAACTAAAAGAGAAAAGAATACCCTACAGCTTAGTTTCTTATTTATTACCCTGATACCAAAGCTAGACAAGGACATTATGAGAAATCGATAAACTAATATCCTTCAAGAATTTCAATAGAGACCCCTAATAACAGCAAGTTGAATCCAGCAAAATGTTTGTTAAACAATAATACACCATGACCAAGTACAGTTTACCCCAAGAATGGAAGGTTGGTTTAACATTCAAATATCACCATATTAACAAAATAAAGGAGAAAAAAAACACATAAACATCTCAGTAAATGCAGGAATAAAGAATATGACCCAATTCAACACCCATTCATGATCAAAACTGTCAGCAAACAAGGAAAAAAAGGGAAGTCCCTCACCCTAACAGAGGGCATCAATCAGGGCTTCCCTGGTGGCGCAGCGGTTGAGAGTCCGCCTGCCGATGCAGGGGACACGGGTTCGTGCCCTGGTCTGGGAAGATCCCACATGCCGCAGAGCGGCTGGGCCTGTGAGCCATGGCCACTGAGCCTGCGTTTTCGGAGCCTGTACTCCACAACGGGAGAGGCCACAACAATGAGAGGCCCGCGTACCGCAAAAAAAAAAAAGGGCATCAATCAAAAAAAACCCTACAGTTAACATCATACTTCATGGTGAGAGACTGAATGCTTTGCTCCTAAGATCAAGAACAAGACTCTCACCACTTCTATTCAACATAGTACTAGAGGTTGTAATCAACACAGTTAAGACAAAAAAAGAAATAAAAGGTGTACAGTTTGGAAAAAAAAAAGTTATGGTGGCACAGTGGTGAAGACTCCACGCTCCCAATGCAGGGGGCCCGGGTTCAACCCCTGGTCGGGGAACTAGAACCCACATGCATGCCACAACTAAGAGTTCACATGCCACAATTGAGGAGCCCGCCTGCCACAACTAAGACCTTGCCACAACTAAGACCTGGTGCAACCAAATGAATAAATAAATATTAAAAAAAAAAAGAAAAAGAAGAAATAAAGTTATCCTTATTCACAATGTTTATGCATGTAGGAATTCTAAGGAAGCTACAATAAAGCTATTAGAACCAATAAATGAGTTAGGCAATATCACACATATAATGTCAATATATGAAAATGAATTCTGGTTCTATATACTGGCGTCAAACAACTGTAAATTGAAATTAAAATATGTAATACACAATAGCATCAAAAACCTTGAAATAATTAGGGCTAAACTTTACAAAATATGTGCAAGACTTGTACACTGAAAACTACAAAACACTGCTGTAAGAAATCTGTAACAACCCAAATAAAATTAAGAGATATACTATTAAGACTCAGTATTGTTAAGATGTCAATTCTTCCCATACTGATCTATAAATTCAATGGAATTCCAATGAAAACTCTAAGAACTTTTGTAAAAACTGACATGATGATTTTAAAAGCTTCTGTGGAAATGTAAAGGACCTAAAATAGCCAAAATAATTTGAAAAAGAAAAATATTGAAGAATTCACACTACCTGATTTCAAAAATTATTATAAAACTAAAATTATCAACAGAGTGAAATACTGGTGAAAGGACAGACAAAGATCAAAGGAACAGAAGAGAATCTAGAAAAGATTTTTTACAAATGTGGTTAATTGATTATCAACAAGCTACCAAGGCAATTCAATGGGGGAAAAGGACAGTGTTTTTAATAAATGTTGCTAGAACAACTGGGTGTTGCTATGGAAAAAAATGAACCTCACCCCTTACCTTACACTTAAGTAAAAACGAACCTGAAATGGATCACAGACCTAAACATGTAATATAAAAGGGTAAAACTCCTGGAAGAAAAGATAAGAGAAAATATCTGCAACCTTGGGATAGTCAAAGATTTCTTGCATCGGACACAGAAAGTATAAACCATAAAACAAAAAAATGAATAAATTGAACTTTCCCAAAATTAAACACGTCTGCCCTTTAAAGAACACCATTACAAAAATGAAAAGGTAAGCCACAGACTGGGCGAAAATGTTTGCAAAACATCTATCTGACAAAGGACTTCTGGAACTTCCCTGGTGGCACAGTGGTTAAGATTCCACGCCCCTAATGCAGAGGGCCCAGGTTCAATCCCTGGTCAGGGAACTAGATCCCACATGCATGCCGCAACTAAGAGTTTGCATGCCACAACTAAGGAGTCGGCAAGCTGCAACTAAGGAGCCCTCCTGCCACAACTAAGGAGCACACATGCCGCAACTAAGGAGCCAGCGAGCCACAATTAAGGAGCCTGTGAGCTGCAACTAAGGAGCCTGCCTGACACAACTAAGACCCGGCACAACCAAATAAATAAATATTTTTTTAAAAAAGGATTTCTTACGAGAATATATAAAGAACTTTGGTGATATGCTAAACAACCTACCAAAAAATGAGCTAAAGATTTTTTCACAAAAGACACACAGAAGAAGATGCATACTAATACACATATGAAACAATGACAAACATCATTAGCCTTCAGGAAAATGCAAATTAAAGCCAAATGAGATATTGTTACACACCCACCAGAGATGTTAAAATTAAAAATAATGGCAATACCAAGTGTTGACAAGAATGAGGAACAACTGAAGGACTCATACACTCCTGGTGAGAATGTAAAATGGTACAACCACTTTGCAAACAGTTTGATAGTTCCTGATAGGGTTAAGCACATACTTACATGACATAGTAATTCCACTCCTAAAATTTAACCAAGAGAAATAAAACACATTTCCACATAAAGACGTATAAGTAAATACTCATTGCAGCTTTATTCATAAAAGTCCTAAACCAGGGACTTCCCTGGTGGCACAGTGGTTAGGAATCCGCCTGCTGGTGCAGGGGACACGGGTTTGATCCCTGGTCTGGGAAGATCCCACGTGCCACGGAGCAACTGAGCCCTTGCACCACAACTACTGAGCCTGCGCTCTAGAGCCCGCGAGCCACGACTACTGAGCCCGCGAGCCACAACTACTGAGCCCGCGCGCCTAGAGCCCGTGCTCCGCAACGAGAAGCCACTGCAATGAGAAGCCCGCACACTGCAACAAAGAGTAGCCCCTGCTCGCTGCAGCTAGAGGAGGCCTGCGCACAGCGATGAAGACCCAACGCAGCCAAAAATAAATTTAAAGAAAAAACAGTCCCAAGCTGGAAAAAAACCTACATGTCCCTCAAAAGGTGAGGGGATAAATAAGGAAATATTACTCAGTGATGAAAAGGAACAAACAACTGATTCACTCAACAATATGGATAAATCTCAAAAAAAGCATGCAGAGAGGAAGAAGCTGAAATGAAAGTCACAATGTTCAAGGGACTTCCCTGGTGGGGCAGTGGTTAAGAATCCACCTGCCAATGCAGGCGACACGGGTTCGAGCCCTGGTCCGGGAAGATCCCACATGCTGTGGAGCAACTAAGCCCGTGCGCCACAACTACTGAGCCTGCGCTCTACAGCCCATGAGCCACAGCTACTGAGCCCGCGTGCCTAAAGCCTGTGCTCCGCAACAAGAGAAGCCACCCAATGAGAAGCCTGAGCACCGCAATGAAGAGTAGCTCCCGCTCGCCGTAACTAGAGCAAGCCCACGTGCAGCAACAAAGACCCAACGCAGCCTAAATAAATAAATAAATAAATAAATAAACAAATAAATAAATAAATAAATAAATAAATAAATAAATAAAAAAGAAAGAAAACGTCTCTGAGAACACAGAGGTTTTAAAACGACTTATAAAAAAAAAAAGTCACAATGCTCAAAACTGATCATCTTTCATGATGATATGCAGAACAATATCTACATGAATTTGATGCCCCCCTAGCTCAACACTTGAAACCAAACCAGGTGATATTGTAACAACTTGGTGGTCAAGGTTGGATAGGTAATAAAATGAAAGCAGAACTGCTTAGAGTACTCCACTGTCTCCAACTGTTGTGTATACATACATTTCTGGAACTCCCCCTAATATACTTAACTGCACTTCTTTATTGTGCTCATCACGGTAAAGCCAAAGTCCTATGAATGGACTATAGGCCCTGTGTGATCCAGCCCCCACTTGCTCCAACCATAGTGGTCTCCTTGCTGTAACTGGCATCCCAGAGATCAGCTACAGCCTCAGGTCTTCTGCACTATTGTTTCCCTACCTATAACTTGCTCTGCCAGATATTCACATGGCTCAGCCACTCATCTCTTTCAAGTCTTTGCTCAAAAAGCATGTTCAGAGAGAGGCCTGTCCTGACCACATTACTCAAAATCACAGCTCTCCTTACTACTGGGGACTCTCTTCCCTACTCGCTCTCCAGAGCAACTTTTCATCTTCTAATAGAGTACATACTTGTTATTTTATTAGTGCTTGTCTCCCCTGCAAACAGAAGGTAAGCTCTGTGAGGGCGGGGTTCCTGTCTCTGCTGTCCACTGCTGGATCCTCAGTGCTTACCAGAGCTTGCATTGAGCTGGCATGTAGCAGTCTCGGCAAGTGTGCTGAGTTACTAGACAACCTATTTTCAGGCGAGGACCTTGTCTACTTCATCTTGGCTTCCCAGTGCCTATTAGATGCTTGATGTTTGTTGAGTGAATAAATGAATGAGATGAATCAGAGAAAGGCATGTAAGCCAAAAAGCTTTTAAGGGACATATTTTCTCACCTGTAATTGTTGCTGTAGGTGGGTGATTTCAGCAATTCTCAACTCTCTAGATTTGTTTGTGCTCTCAATTTCTTGCCTTTGGGTTGTCAATCGACATCTGATATCTTGAAGTTTTCCTTCTAGTTGATGCTTCTTATCATTCTTTAACAAATGAAAAATAATAAGAATTATTAGCATTTTAATGGTTCAATGTAAGTAGATTCCCAAAGCATAATCAAACTACTCACTAGAGCTTCTAATTCAAATTCCAAAGTCTTTTTCTTTGCTTTCAGCACAACTATGTCCTCTTGTTCTTTGTTTCTTTGATTTAACAGTTCTTGTCTTCGATTCCGTTCCCATTCAAGCTGTCGTTGCCTTTCAAGCTCCCGTTTTGCAGCCTATGACATACACAGACGATTTATCAATTGTTCAGTTCTTACACTCTTCAAGGTCTCTTAGTAAGCATTACATCTAGTAAGTCTTTTCTTTTAGGGGTGAAATATTATTAAACATTACAAGAAATTTTAATTTTAAAATAGCAGAAAAATTTTATACAAATATAATATTCCTTCTATGGGAAAACAGAGAATATTGAGAAAGGCTATTATGTTTACATGAGCTGAGAACAGACTGGATTGTTTCACCACTGACATTCAATTCTTTACGCTGCTAAGGATGCTTGGTGTGCTAAAATAAGCTGCTCTTCCTTATTTACGGACTCATAAAAAACAAGGAAAATTAATCTAGTAAAATCAAGTCAAAAACCCCAGAACAAAAAACAAAACAAAAAAAGCTTTCTTCCATCAAACAAGTAATTATTATTTCTTCTGTCACATGAGAGATTATTATTTGTCTCAAGCTTTAGAAGTCTGTAAACCCCATCTCCCTAATCATTCATTTCCTTTTTAGCACAGAAGGTTCTGTAATTTCTCTGGCAACGCCAGCTCTCTTCACTGCTGACTCTGATGGCTGCTAGGCAGAGTAACTGTGGGAGCACCCGGCACTCTTTATCGTATTGTAATTGCTTCTTACATACCTGTGCTCCAACTACACTGTAAGGGCCTGGAGGACAGGTGGAGTTCCTATTTATCACCATATCTCCAGGGACTATCAATGCCTGGCACATGGTAAATGTCAATTAAATAATCTTGAATAAACACTCTAAAATACTTTTTTTTTTAAAAAACATTGAAGAAGGAAAGGCTGTCTACCTTTTGGTTGTCATCCTGGAAATGAAAATCCTATTAGTATCTGTGTGTGTCTGCCCAAATGAAAGGGAGCTTATAGCTACAAGTTTTCTAAAGCAATCATCAGGAGATGAAACCAAAGTATTATTTTTTTATAAAGACAAATCCCCCATCTTTGAAATACATTTTATCCACACAAGAGAATCATGTCATTGCTTCGGTAACAATATACTAGGACTTCCCTGGTGGTGCAGTGGTTAAGAATCCGCCTGCCAATGCAGGGGACACAGGTTCGAGCCCTGGTCCAGGAGGACTCCACATGCCATGGAGCAACTAAGCCCATGCACCACAACTACTGAGTCTGCACTCTAGAGCCCGCGAGCCACAACTACTGAGCCCGTGTGCCACAACTACTGAAGTCTGTGTGCCTAGAGCCCGTGCTCCACAACAAGAGCAGCCACCACAATGAGAAGCCCATGCACTGCAACGAAGAGTAGCCCGCACACAGCAATGAAGACCCAATGCAGCCATAAATTAATTAATTTTAAAAAACCAATATACTAAAATTGGAAAGACAGACAGGAGATAGGCTTGGCCCCTATCCAGGTATGGCACCAAATTTAGGAAGCCATCCATAAAATACAGTGAAGATTACTAGACATATTTTCTAAAGTGGAAAAAGAAAAAGATGCAGAACAATAAAATAGTGTGATACCATTACAGTGGTTTCATAAAACAATTTCAACTAAACCTTCAACCTCTCCACCATATAAACCTTTTTGTTTCTATATTTGTATGTGAATGCAGAAAAAAGCCTAGAAAAAAATACTTAACTGCTATCAGTGGTTTGTTACAAGACTGTATTATCAAAAACTTGTACATGAATGTTCATAGCAAGAGTATTCAAAATAGCCAAAAAGTAGAAACAACCCAAATGTCCACCAACTGATGAATGGATAAATTTAAAATGTGGCCTATCCATATAATGGAATACTATTCAACCACAAAAAGGAATAAAGTAATGATTCACGCTACAACTTAGCACGAAAACATGCTAATCGAAAGCCAGACACAAAAGGCCACATATTATGTGAATCCACTTATACAAAATGTCCAGAATAGGCTAACCTATGGAGAGAGAAAGGAAATTCGCGGTTGTTAAGGGCAGGAGAAGGGGGAATGGGGAGTAACCGCTTAATGGGTAAGGAGTTTCTTTTTGGGGTGATGAATTAGTGGTGACGGTTGCACAATTTTGTGAATAACTAAAACTACTGAATTGTAAAAAGAAAAAAAAGACTGTGTTAATATATTACTTAAACAGCTCTGGAAGAGCACAGCACGTGTGTTCATGACGGGGCTGCTCCCCAGCTGCTCACCTCTCGCCTCTCGATTTCTTTCCTGCGCTCCTCCTCTCTCTGACGTTCTAGCTCCCGCTGCTTTTCCAGCTGCTTCTCCAGCTCCAGCTGCCTCTTGCGCTCCTGTTCCTGGCGTTCCCGCTCCTTCCTCTCCTGCTCCGCCCTCTCCAGCTGGGCCAGGCGCTCTTGTTCTTTGCGCTGCTGCTCCAAGAGCGCTTGTCTCCGTTTCTCCAGCTCCAGATTGCCACGTTCAAAGTTCTCACGCTTCTTATCTTCAAAGGTTACTTTAAAACAAGACATAAGAATTAGGAAAAGCCATGATTTTCAACATAGTACTTTCAAAGGGAAAACTCAATGGCATATTGGAAATGTGTAGTGTACCTGCAAACCTGAACTCCCAAAGCTTCTTTCTCACCTGTGCCCTCGCTGATAAGCACTATGAACGTGCCCTTCACCCAGCTTCTTGCTTATATACTCTCCCCTCCAGATGAACCACATCATAGTGTTCGAAATGCCAAACGCGGTTTCTGGAATAATCTTTTGACAGCAGTTCTGCATCATCACCCAACCTCCATACCTTCCCTGTCACTCTACCCTTTCCCTTTTCTATGACCTGGATTCAGCAATTGACCCCTTGTCACTTCTGTACCACGAATCTTTCCCTTTCTACCTCCTTTTTCTTTGCTTAAAACCGTGCTGTTATGTCTTCAATTTTAACAAACAAGACAGTTTCTGAATGCAGAGGTAAGAAGGTAAGTCTCCTCCTGTGTTTCACACTGAAGAGCAGGTTGTGCCCTAATCATCATGGAAATGATACTCCGTAAATTATTTTTTCTAACCCATTACTCAGTTTCCTTCTTTGAGAACACCAATTATGAATTTTAGAACTATCCCCAGGTCAATAATTGTTTTTCTCTGATCCTTGCTAACACTGTTTACACCCATTTTATTTTACTTTAAAAAAAAATTCCACCCACCACACCCCTTACTATGTTTTCAGCAGCGTCTATTCAGTTTTGTGTTTGCTTCACACGCTTCTCCTTGGAGCCAGCCCCAGACAAGGTAAGCTCTCACTGCCAGCCTGTGCAACATGTCATTCCCATTGTTCCCAATCTATTTCAAGGGCCGTCACTTCACACACTGTCTTGAGATGTGTAGCTGTGAGCATCCTTTCTTGGCCTCTTCCCACATTCCTGTCTGGCCTTCACTGAAAACAGACCTTCCTTACATACTGTAGTTAGATTAGAGATCAGAGATGGCAAGCAAGTTTTACTTTCTTGTTCTTCTGGCTCCTTTTGTGATTTCAGAACAGGCACCAACCATTTTACTCTGCCACCTTAAAATCGAAAGTCCCCTCCGTCAGAGAAAGGAATGAAGTAATGATACATGCTACAATGTGGATGAATCTCAAAAACACTATGCTAAGTGAAAGAAGCTGGATGTAAAAGGTCACCCACTGCATAATACCATTTATATGAAATATCCAGAAGAGGTAAATCCAAAGAGACAGAAAGCAGACTGGTGATTTCCAGGGGCTGGGGAAAAGGGAGAATGGAGAGTAACTAGGTATGGCCACTGTTTTGGACTGAATGTTTTCCACCCCACCAATTTATAGGTTGAAACCCTAACCCCCAAATGGGCTGGTATTTGGAGATGGGAACTTTGTAATTCCAGTTAAGGTAAGGTCATGACGATGGGGCCCTCATTATGAATTAGTGGCCTTATAAGAAAAGGAAGAGAGAGCTATCTTTCTTTTTCTATGTGCACACACCGAGGAAAGGCCATGTGAGGACCTAGTGAGAATGCAGCCATCTGCAAGTCAGGAAGAGTGCCCTCACCAGGAATGGAAGTGGATGGCACCCTGATCTTGGACTTCCTATCCTCCAGAACTGTGAGAAATAAATTTCTGCTGTTTGAGACACCCAGACTATGACATTTTATTATGGAAGCCCAAGCTGACTTAGACAGCCACTGAACACTTCAAAATGATCAATTTTATCTTAAGTAAATTTTACCTCAATTTAAAAAAAAGAAAAAAACTGAAAGTCCCTATACATCTTTTTAATTCCAAAATCTGGCCCTATTTCTGGTACACAGAGGCACATAATAAATGGTTGTTGAAAGAAAGAATGCACTAACCCAAAACTCTAATACTGTCACATCCTGTTCAAAACTTTAAATGAATGTCTTCTACCAAGAGAAAAAGAAAATTCCAAATTCTAAGGATTCCTGTCCTTATTTGCTTTAAGACTTTACTCCCATTATTATCAACCTGAAATGTTCCTCCCTTCCACTTGTAGTGACCCAATTACTCTTCAAATCTCAACTCAACTGTGACCTCTTCCATACAGATTTAATTGCTTGTGTATTTCCCAGTCTATGCCAACCAGCTATAAGTAAGCTCTGCTGTGCATCTATAATTCTGTCTTCAGGAATTTATCATACTTATGCACTGCTTTGATGATTGTTTATATGGATGTCTTAAACCCTCAGCTGTATTATAACCTTATAGAGGGCATGGACCATGTATTATTAACATTTAGATTCTTCACTGTACTCAACACACTTGAACAAAGAACATTTTCAGTAAGCAGTTTATCACTGAACAAAAAGTAATTTAGTTAAAGAGGAGACTAGGAGAGCTAGTGTCCTGAGCAGGTCAATTATCCCCTGAGCACTTTAAATGCAACAAAATGACACTGACAGAGTATTAAACATAAAGAGGTTCCATAATAAATTTCATTAGGGTGCCAGTATCAATTGTCATCTCATCATTAATAATTCATAGCTACCATAGAATATTTTAATAGTATGATGAATTTATCTTTGTAAATGAGGATAATTTAAATTAGGTTCATATTAAATTTAAAATAACTTCTTGTTATCAAGGAGCTTCCGATTCTATAACAACATGAGAAAACAACAGTAGGCAATTTTACATTCTATTTCTGCACTGGTGGTATTAAGCAACCACCTTAAAGGCTTATCAGTTTTGAGCATTTTATAGATAACATTTATAAAATTTTTGTTAAGTGGTAAATAATCAGATTTCAATTTAAAAGCTAGAACAAGGGTACATTAGCAGAGTACATAATGTTCTTATTTCTATACATATATTCAAATCCAAAAGCATATGAAAAGTGTCTCCTTTCTGACTAAGGTCAGTTAAAGAAACATAGCAAGGGCTTCCCTGGTGGCTCAGTCGTTAAGAATCTGCCTGACAATGCAGGGGACAGGGTTCGAGCCCTGGTCCGGGAAGATCCCACATGCTGCGGAGCAACTAAGCCCATGTACCACAACTACTGAGCCTGAGCTCTAGAGAGCCTGTGAGCCACAACTACTGAGCCCGTGTGCCACAACTACTGAAGCCCACGTGCCTAGAGCCTATGCTCTGCAATAAGAGAAGCCACCGCAATGAGAAGCCCGCGCACCGCAACGAAGAGTAGCCCCTGCTCGCCACAACCAGAGAAAAGCCTGTGCACAGCAACAAAGACCCAACACAGCAAAAAAATAAAATAAATAAAATTAAAAAAAAGAAACATAGCAAGAATGTCAAAAGCTAAATTTATTTTTGCCTCCATCTTTGCCTTAGAGATAGAAAATCTCTAATATGCTATAATTCAAATATAAGGACTGTCTTACCAGGTAATTTCTTTTCTAGTTGTTGCTGTTCATCTTCTAAAACTGGTTCCTCTGGTAACCTCTGATCTACCGAAGTTGAGCTTATGACAGATATACCACTGCCAGATCGAACTCTTCTGCAGTTGTGGAAAAAAAGAAAAAAAACAAAAAGGATTCATGTAAAGCTGTCTAGGTAGAATTGGGTAAATTATGAAAAAAAATTTTTTTTAAGATTATGCCACATATCATGGAGCAAATTTCATTTTTAGTGAGGAAAAGATAAAGATTTGGTCTTCTCTACTTACAAGAGTTTCTTAAAAATGAATATCTGAACGTCATCAGACTCTGAGTGCCATATTCATTCAAATGTTTAGAACCATCACCAAAAGTAGGACAATTCCAAAGGATTAAATCAATGAACAATTGTCAAGTGGTTAGAGCAGTACCTTGGACATAGTAAGTGTTCGCTGTTCCGATCATAACCCTCCTATGAAACATTAAATTTCCAAGGGAAGATTAGCAGCTCAGCTAATTGAGAGCATCTTTTTTTTTTTCCCTTTACAAAGTCTCTCCATGTTATCTCTTAATAAACACATGAAATGTCTATACTTTATAGTCCTTAAAACAAATCACTTAGTTTACTGGTTAGTTTCACTTTACACCATTAATCTTGCTCTTTTAAACCGATCTACCTATCTTCTTTTTATGCTTTTTTATCAGCTTCCAGTGTTGTGTTTCTTGTAGCGATTCTTGAAGCTGTGAGATTTTGTGGGAAAACTGTCCAGCTACCAGTTTCTTCCTACACATTCACAGTTTTCTCAGCTCCCCCCTGCACGATGTATGTGCTGACAGTGATGGCTTCATGTTTCATACTTTTATGGGGACTTTTCCCCCAGTCCTTCCTGTGAGGAATTAGGACAGAAATTCTTATCTGTGCTTCTTTTGTTCTTCTTCGTCTCGTAAGATCTCAAATTTGTCTTTTAAGTTAAAGCTTTGAGACACAGTTGTCCAAGAGGGCTGTGTATGCGTGGCTGTGTGTAGGCGGAGGATACCAGTAACTGCAGAGTCTTCCCAATTGGACCCTGAACTACCCTCTCAATGTCTCCACTGAGGTTATGTTTCAGACCATGAAAATTTTCTTTAATTATCTTCCTGATTATAATTTCTACATTGCTAGCATTTTGTTACCTCTGTCTGGAATGTGTAGAATTCATAGGCAGAATCTCCTTGCTTTATTTTCTATGTACAGGTTGATATCATTGCACTTAAACTGCTAAAGTTTTGGGTGAGCTTTGATTATATGGATTGTCTCAAAACCCACAAAATCTGTGATGTTTTACTTGACTGTTTTACTAATATCCTATGAGTACTTTAAAGAACAGAACAGGGAAAGATGAACACAAACCTACCTAAGAAGATTTGCTTGAATTCATAGATATTTCATTTACTTGCCAAGAATAAAAAATGACTATAAGATACACAGGCAACAAAGCCAAGTTTGAAATTCACATACTCAGCGCACAATTTCTTATGAGAGCCAAATATTCCTTACCTAAAGGAAGGTGGAATGTATTCTGGGGGCAGGACCGGTGGCAGTGGTTGGCCAGACATAGCTACATCAATTAGGTGCATAGCCAGGATAAATTCTTCTGCTGTGAGTTTTCCATCTTGATCAATGTCAGAAAGATTCCTATTCAACAAAAAGTTCATTGTAATCTAGCTTCATGAAAATGCATGCTTGTTACTATTCATTAGTGATTTAAACGTTCTATTTTCTTATTCTGACTCTAGGCCAACTGAGTTCCTCTGTGCCTCAGTTTATAAAAATAGTACCTATTTCACACCACCATTGCAAAGACAAAATGAGACAATCCATATAGCTGGGATGGTGTTCAGCATTCAACAGATGTTAACTGTGATTATAATTACACTCTTCTCAATCATTGCAACCCATTTTAAATGTATCATACATTCCATGTGTCTAATTTAGACTACGCTCTGCAGACTATCGGGTCAGATAGTAAATATTTAAACTTTGCAGAACACACAATCTCTATCACACGGAATTCTGCTGCTGCAGCAGGAAAGTAGCCACAGACAATATATAGAGAAACAAATGGGCACGGTTGTTTTAAAAAACAAAACCAGGTGCAGGCCAGATTCAGCTCACTGGACCAAGCCCTGATCTAGGCCTCCAAGGGTGGATCTTTACGGCCTCCAGCCACAGAGGCAAGGTGTTTTCTGTTCCTTAATTTTAGGATTCAATCGTCACTGTTCTTCATAATCAACTTGCCCTGGTAGCTAATTAAAGTAAACAGATTTTTCTAGCAAGTCCAAGAATGTGATTTTACTTAACAACTTCTGGACACCAAAAGAGGATGCAAGACCACAACACTGTTCACTAAAATACCAATAGGACAGATGCTACACTGGGCAACTAACTGGCTTTGCTGATGCGATAAGTCAAGAAACTCCTCTTAAATCTGAAATTTCCTCAGGTGGCATAAACTCTTTTTTTTTAAGGTACAATATCCATACGGTAACGTCCACCCCTTTTAGAGTACAATTCTTCGAGTTCTGACAAACACATTCAGTTGTGTAACTACCACAATGTATAGAAGTTTCATTATCACCGAAAATTCCTGTCTTTTTATAGTCACCCTTTCCTTTGCCCCCAGGCCCTGGCAACCACTGATCTCTTTTCTGTCCCTCTACCTTTGCCTTTTCCAGGTGCCAGACTCCTGTTTTTAAGTACAACAGAGCCACAAATGAAAACCCTGCCTGTTTTACCTTGTTCTCTCTTCCTTTCCACTGCCCACTCCTAGGTAAATGCAATTAAAAGGCAGGTGGAATTCCTATTTGTTTTTTTCCCCATACTTGCCTGAAGAATGGCTGTACACATTTAATTAAATATCTTTTTATCATGTAGAAAGAGAATATAATATTCTAGTAGGAGAAGACTCAAGTATTTTTTTCAAAGAGGGCAGGTCATAAATGAGAAACTTAAACATGTCATTATATTCTAGTGTCATGAGAACAACCAACGTCCATAAATGTTAGGTCTTTAGTTTTTATTCCAGAGGGCCCTAGGATACTGGTACACACCCAGACTTAAAGAGGTCTAGATGTCATAGATATAAGATGCTTGCTAACTGGTCTGTTATTATGCTATTGCAAGAGGCTGACCCTTTAACGCAAAGCAGAAGGGACCATAATGGGTGAAGGGAGCAGCCCTAGAGCTTGACCACGTATGAAACAACCACATCAATGAGCCTGCAGCAAAATCATGAACCTAGCAGGTAAGTGGTATAGACCGGGTTTATCTTCCAGGTGGAATCAATGGATAATGCATAACTGAGAGATACACACTCCTGAAGAGTGTGTATTCTAGTTAATATTTAACTAGATATTAAAATTAAATAACATTCTAGTTAATATTTAAATGTAAAGAATCCTATAGGATTAGGCAAGGCTCATCAATAGCTACTAAAACTCATTACAAAATAGACAAAGAGACATAAATGTACCTACTGATGAAAGTACTCGGTATCATCTCTGATGTATTTTGCAAAAAAAAAAAAAAATTCAAACTTGAATCTGCTGAGTGGTTCTCAACCACTGATTGATTTAATACTGCAAAGAACATCTGCCAATGTCTGGAGACATTTCTGACTGTCACAAGTGGAGGCGGGGCTCATGCTGCTGCAGTAGGTAGAGGCCAGAGATGCTACTTAACAATCAAAAGTCCACAGGACAGGCCTCCACCACAGAGTCATCGGGCCTAAAATGTCAATAGCACTGAGGTGCAGAACCCTGCTCAAGATCTAATTACCAATCTACAGGAAATACAAGAATGAATTAACACCACAAGGGTGCCATCAGCTAAAGTTAGGCTATAAGAAACTATAGGACAAATGATCTGGGGTTTTTTTGCGGGATGGGGTGGGGGAGGAGTGGAAAACAAGACAAGGGGGAGTTTATAGGTTAAAGGAGACTTAAAAGATGTATCAACCAATTGTTACAAAATATAGATTTATTTCAGTCCTGATTTGAACAAATCAACTATAAAAAAATTATGAGACAATCTAAGGAATTTAAACACCATCTGATTAACTTAATGATAAGAATTACTATTTAACAGTTTTAAGTGGACTTTTGGTATTGCAGTCATGTGGGGAAAAAATCCCTATGTCTTTTGGAGATACAAGCTGAAATATGTGCAGATGGAAATGATATAATGACTGAGATTTGGCTTAAAATAATTGAAAGGAGGAGGGGAGAACCAGGACAAATCATGAGTTGAGACTTATTTAGGCTGTATTATGAGTTCTTGAGAATTCATTATATTGATTGCTCTGCTTTTGTATTTTTCAAAATCAAAAGGGGGGAAAGTAAGAGGGGTACTCATAACAACTCATTGGAAAATTAAGCCTACTCCATATATCCCCCTTAGAAATAACGGTATTAATCTAAAGACCCATGAGCCATATCAATTCAAGAAATACAGTTTCCTCTTTATACAAACCAAGGAACTTTTTCATTCCTTACCATATTGAAGCCAGCTGAGCCTGTGGTAAACTTGACTGCATAAGAATAGTTCTTGCTTGGGGACCTAAACAAAAACCAGGAAAAAAATATAAAGATGAACCAGCAAATCTTCACTGATCAGTGTTCTGCACACAGGTACTATGTAATCGCATGCAATCACAATGCTTTAAACAATATTTGCTATTACCCGAGGGGCTTTTTAAAAAGGAAATTAAGCCCCAATGAAAAAGGCAAGAAACACAAAGCACCTGGCACACAGTCAATAAATTTTTGTTAAATAGATGTTTAATGAGGAATGAGTATGTAAAGGATTAGAGTTTCAAAATATAACCTGCCCTTCTGTCCAGGTTACCGTCTCTATTCGTATCAGGCTTTTATTTACAAAGCTGAAACTTATTCTCTCTAAATTCAGCATCTTGGCCACCACCTGCTTCCTCCACCATGATGACTATCAAATTCAGATAAGATTCAGAGAATCTTAGAGGAGGAAGGGACCTTAGAGAGAACTCTTCTACTCATTTCATTATACAGACTCTAAAACAAAACTAAACAAAAAAAACTTGCTCAAGGTTGTATACATGGCCAATTATCGCAGCCATTTCCTAGGTTAGTGATAAAGAAGAATTTCTGGAATTTCAACTCTCATCTCAAAATCAGCTCTCACTTCTTAAAATACTTATATATATCTTCAGTTTTGGCATGAAACTAGCCTTAGATACCAGAAAGGCTACAATGGAAGAATTTGAATGTTTAAATAAACTAGTGTTAGGAGGAGAGAGACAAGTGTCTTATGTCTATCACTGACTCCCAAGGTGTGGTCCCAGGATGACATGAAGACCAAGGAACGGAAAGTGGTAGCAACTGTGTTAGGAAGATTACCACGCATAAAATTTTGCTTGTTCTGTGGTATACTGGAATGAGAAAAGTTCATTGATCATTTTATTTAGTCTCTAACATTGTATTTAGAATGTTGGCAACATTAAAGTAGAATTAGCAAAAGTTTAGTGAATGCTTTAATTTATACTTGTAACAATCCTGCCCACTTCAGAACTATATAAAAGAAAGTTCATATTTCATCTATTCAATAAAAAGTGTAACAATAAATGAAAAGAACTAACCCTGGACCTGGATATCAGGACATATGGATTCCAGTCCTGACTCTTCCACTCCCTAATGACATGTGACATTAACAAAACTACTTTTAGGAAGTTCTTTTATCTCTGAAATGAGGAAAATGATCTAGAACAGGGATTGGCAAACCACAGTCTATAGGCCATATCCAGCCCTCCACCTGTTTTTGTAAATAAAGTTTTATTGAAACATAGCCATGCCCATTCATTTAAGCATGATATATGGCTGCTTTCATACTGCAACGGCAAAGTTGAAGAGCAGTGACAGTGTATGATTGCAAGTCTAAAATGTTTTTGCATCTGAAAGGGCGAATTACAAGTATACACAAATTCTCTGTATGCCTCGCTCACTCTGCTAAAGCAGTAGCTGTCACTTTTATACATAGCATGAAAAACCAGGCCAGCTTATATGGGCACTGAAGGAATATTTAAAGGTAGAGTTTTAAGTACTGTTTAACATGGTTTGACACCAGTGTGTCATATAGACCCAGACCTGCATTGTCAGTGAATCTGCAAACATTATTTTGCTGTTTATAGAAGAAGTCTGTTGACCCCTGCACTAAAAGATTCCAACTGTCTTTTGCAATTTCTAATACTTGACTCTAAGTCCTAAGACAAGGTTGTGAAACATTAAATTAGATCAGCAACAGCAAAGATAGTAACAGGACAACATAAAAATCAAGCTCTGAGTGTTCGGAACTATTCTGTAGAAGCCTACATTCATGAAAGGCAGACTGGCTTATAAGGAAACATTAAGGGAATAAACACAAATCTCAAGTTCACAAAGCCTACAGTGGGTAGCTATGTTTCAGTAGGGAAGCTTGAATGGAAAGAACAGAGACAATTAAATGAAGTTAATGCTTTACTTCAAACAATGACTAAGACTTTTAGCATTTTGTGATTAGCATATGAATAACCAAATAACATATGCACTGTTTCAGAATGCAAGGAGATAATCAAATACCTCTTTGAGAAGAGGACTAGCAAGAATAGCATTACCAGAATTCTAGAGCTACTTATATAACTTAGATTAGGAAGGACTCCTCTCTTTTGTAAGAGTGTCTCTTTTAAGAGCGTGCAGTAGCATATACATCAGGTTGGGAAGGAACAAGGGGGTGCCCACCTAACCAGGTGTATCAGCGAAATCAACCCAGGTAATCAATGGGGTAAACTGTGCCATTGCTAAATATTTCACTTCTGCCTCTTTCCATTCTGGGAACTATTCTCAACTTTCTTGATATTATTCTTAATCTTACTCAATTCTTAAGCTGAATTGAGTAACTGCTTTAGGGGTTGAGGATTCACACAATTATTTTCACAGTTGTGATCATGAAAATAATCTTTGTATTTCATCTCAACAAAACCTGCTCTGCTTCCATCAACAGTCTTATTTCGCCTAAAACACACCTTATATTGATTCCTCACAAAGGGAAAACAAATTAAATGTCTTTTATTTACTCCTATTTTAAAATGTACTGTAATAAATTATTCTTTCTATTTGACATGACTATACAAAGATTTGAAAATGAAATTCCCACCTTAAATTCCTTCCAGGACAAAACAGTAATAAGTATACAGCTAAACAGTAACAAAAATCTGCTCATCCATCCAGTATATTTCAAATTTCATTTTCTGCCTCAGATATTAAAAGTTCTAAATATTTAAGTTCCTGCGTCATATACCTTCTACCTGATACTATACTTCGGTCATAAAACACATCCTACCAAGAAAAGAGAATTTCGGCATCCACATCGCATCTGAATACTATTTTAAGTAACTCCCAGCAAACACCAACAGTGCTTTAAAAAATGTTTTCAGATTCACTGACAATGCAGGTCTGGGTCTGTATGATACACTGGTGTCAAATCATGTTAAACAGTACTTAAAACTATACTTTTGAATATCCCTTCAGTGCCCATATAAGCTGGCCTGGTTTTTCATGCTATGTATAAAAGTGACAGCTACTGCTTTAGCACAGTGAGAGAGGCATACAGAGAATTTGTGCATATTTATAATTCGCCCTTTCAGATACAAATATATGCTTATTTGAAATGACTGCTGAGATTCTTTACTGGGATAGGGTTCAAGGTTAGACCAGAACCCTTCGAAGTCTCACCCAATCCTGACATTTTTAAACAAGGATGAATTTTTCTCTTGGAAGTAAAAATTGCAATTGTAAGTGATAGAAAGAAAAAAAAGATAGTAAGAATCAGAAATTTAAAATGTTTTTTGCTGAATATCACTGCTTCTCCACCCCAGGAAAATGACCCCATTCTCCCCTCCTTTCATATTTGTTAAAGAGCAGTTACATTTTCCCCCCTTTTACACTTAATGTTTGTACTGGAGATCTCTATTTTCCTTTATTAAAATTATGCTTTTCTTTATAACTCTCTAACAATTTTAAGTGTTTTAACCCCTTATTAGAAAGGTTTCTGGATAGTATCATAAAATCCTTTGAATCCTTCTAATGTAGACAACAATCTTTTTTTAAATCCATAGAGACCATATACCTTAACTCTGGCCTTTTATACATGAAGAAATAAGATCCAAATACGTAAAGTGGCCTCCAGCTGGTTAGTGGCAAAGCTAGGTTCTAAACTCCCCAACCATTTACTAACTTTCACCCTGTGTCCTGCCATAAACACTGATTGTTTGAGTAGACAGTTTCAAGTTCATCTACTAAGTTGAACTTCAGAATGTGAACCAGGCTTTGTCCACAGCAGTGTTTCTTTGCAAGTGTGCTGATTTGCACAACAGTGGCATCTAGGGTGCTGGGGGATCCTTGGTCTAGGTTCTATTTACCAAGAAGCAAAAGCCTGAGGCACTGGAGAATAAAATAACTATGGCCTTATCAGTAGATGAGAACTGGAGGTAAGGGGAACAACAAAAACCCTGTTTAGAAAGAAGTACAGTAAATGGAGGAAGACATCGGGAAAATCTTCAGCCCAACATCTAGAAACAATTTGCATTTAGAACAAAGATCATGTTTCACTAAATTAATTCTCATTTGTAAATACCTGTTAAGTGTCCACTCATGGTTTTGTCATGACTGTTGAATAACTGTCGGTATTTCAGTCTGGATGGCTGAGGAACAGCCCATTCAGCTGCGGGAGGAACACTGTGGGGCAAAGAGAGGAAGGAGAGGAAAAAAGGATTAATAGTAAGGAAAATCACATTTAAGTTCTCTAAAAACAGTAAACTAAGAACTTCTCTAGAAAACTAGATTTAATATTTTATTCACTTCCTAATCACTATTTCTGAACTTTCTATAATGATTTTTTCCATTTTTTAAGGTTATAAACCTTTCTCTCCAAAGAGATAAGCTCATTATTTTTTCCAAATCAGGGGTAAACACGGCAGCCCAAGTGGCTGGTTCAAGTTATATGGACAATTTACTAATTTAAAGGTTCTACAAAAGAATGGAAAATCTCCTCGGAACTGAGGTGATACAGTAATGACCACGCTTCTCTAAACTTCTAGAACAGTCCTCTTTAGGTTCAAAAAGCAATGATGATAGAAAACAAATAACTGCTTTTAAAGGTATTAATTCTTTAAAATGTTTAACTTTCTTTACACCAAAATACAGAATGTATTTCTTAATGAAAGGGAGTTATTTCATTCTGAGAATTTAAATGCCCAAAATGGAGTTTCCCAGAGAGAAGAGAACATTCCCAGGGCGGTTGGCAAATCAGCAGTGCAGTATGGGAAGAAGCTCTGCTTCTGACTGCAATCCAGTGCTGACCTTTCCTTGCCAACGTGCAGCTGACCTCAGGAAACCCCTTGCTGGCAGCCAGTTCGGGTGTAGACCTCCTTGGTGATCAGTTCCTCAGATTAGTTCCCACACAGTATCATGCTGGTTGGTACCCATGGCTTCTTGAGAGCCAGATGTTTCAACTGGGCAATTTAAACACGATGACTGAGCTGGCAGTAAAAATGGCATTCCACTTCCAGGACAGATTACAACTAATGCCCCATTTGCAATTTCCTTTCATTTCAACAAAAATATCTATTTCTCACAGATTACAGTGAAATTTTAATCATGAACTGGACATTTTAATCATCATTTATGTATGTTACCTATGCACTGATACTACGTACACTTCTCAAAGCACAGAAACAGCTCCCAAACACTTGAAAAGTACCTATAAAAATTTATCTTTTCAATTTTTATAAACTTCTTAATAAAAACATTTACCAAGTTCTAATCTGCTGTGCATACTTCTGCAACAACTCTCTCATTCTAAACTAATATTTTGAAGATTCCAACTCTTGCCTATTTGTCAAGAAGCTAATTATATCTCTCCTGCACCCCAGGAATGTAGGGTATTACACAGAAGGTGTTCAAGATTACACTTATCCAATCATAGTTTTCTGCCAAATTCCTGAGAATTTAAATAGGCCTAAAAATGCATTAACCAAAAAGTTAGATGCCACATTATAAAAACTTGCTAGAAACTTAAATTATTGAAAGGTAACTACCAAAAAAACCCCAGTGTTTTTATAACCGGAGCAGGACCCTATGGGGCCTTCTGGGGACAGACCCCTCCCCTTACGTCCTCTGCCTGCCTCTCTCAATGTTTTTTTCTCAGCCTATCTCTTGTTTGTAGAAAAGCTGTAGTCTCCCAGGCCTCCCCTGAGTCACAAAAGGCTGCCTCAAGAATTAATGATTGAAAGTACATGAACGTGTAGTGACAAAAGCAGCAACTGGGCCAGGAGAACTGGTAACAATGTAAACAGTCAGCCATATGGCAGTCACAGAATCTTTAGTTCCTCCCTGAAGTACCTAGATAACAGTATCTGATGCACATTCCTGAGTTGTTTTACAGATGCTAAAACTCCACCAAAGGGAAGCTGGAGCCTAAGGATTGATAACATTAACCCCTGTGGTACTGCCCTGTTACCTCACCATCAACCAATCAGAGAACGGCGCACAGCTGATCACACATCCTGCGACTCCCTTCCCTCATCTTGCCTTTAAAAATGCTCCCCTAAAACCCATTGGGGAGCTCAGGTTTTTTGAGCATTAGCTGCTCCGAACTCCTTGTCTGGCGCCTTACAATCTGGTGTCAGTAGATTGGCTTTACTGCACATGGGCGAGCAGACCCAACATTTTAATAGCATTAATGTTGCTAATACTGGCTGTTTGTTCATTTTGATGTCACAAGTCAATTTTAAGACAGATTTCAAAATCACTTGTGGAAAGTCAGAGAATACTCAAAATTCAGCGTGATATGGGAGAAAGAATAGAAAACATGGAATTTAGTGTTAGATGATCTCAATTTAAATCTCAGCTCTGCTGTTTAGTAAGCTGTAAACTATGGGTGAGAAATATAACCTCTCCGGGTGTTTCTTCATTGACAATTCTGAGCCAATTACTACCCTACAGGTGGTTGTGCGGGTTAAATGGGATTAATGAGTCAAAGCAGATACTCAATAAATACTCCTGCATCCTAGGAGTAAAACCTTAATTAAATGGAACACAAATACCTGTATACCACAATTAACCGAAGTTTTCAGGGCAAATTTTAAGAACATCTGCCTCAAAATCAGAAAGATCTCAGTTCAACTCAGCCCTATCACCTAGGAGTTAAGTTATCCGGCGCAAGTCACTTCCTGTCTCTGAGCCTCCTCGTCATCTATAACACAGAAAATCAGTCATCTTATGGGGAAGAAGGTGAGCATTAAATGAGTTAATGTGCATAAAGCATTTGGCACAGTGTTTTTCAGTTTATGGATTTTCTTTACATCATTTTTTAAAAGGCAATGAATTATTGAATTATATTCAACATGTTCTTTTCTTTAAAGAGGAAAAATGACTCAATTCACTTAGGAAAGATTCCTAAAGAGGACTGAAACAAGAAAAGATGGAATCATCTTCATTTACATCTCCTTTTCATTTGGGAAGCTTTGAGACAGCTTATCAAGAGACTTAATTTTTTATTTTAGTACAGCAGTATGCAAGGGGAAAAAATGGGTAAAATAAAAATGTGAAAGATAATATGAACCAAGATTGGCCAAAACAGAAGCAAACAAAACAGGTCATGTAAGCTGTATCCAAAACTGAGCCACATGTTTGATTTAATAACAACTGTCCCATAACCTGAATAACTCATTTCATAAAACCTGATCTAAAGTTTTACTAACGATCCACACAGACCCCATAAGATTGTCTGAGATAAAATTAGAGCCAGTTTTGGCTCTAATCTTCATATAGTATTTTTTATACATAAACTTTTAAATGACTGACACAAAACAGTTAATGTGCTTTTTTCCCTCATACCTAGAGTTCTATTTTTTTAAACATTTACTACCTATTTATCATCCTCTTTAAAAAAAAAAATCAACATGCAAAGCTTTCAAAGGAAAAGTAGTGTTCTTGATTCTGTCATCTCTACAACAAATAAATAATAAAACCTAGTAACATTATCAAGAATTAAGAAAATTATTAGCATTCTGCAAACTAAAACAAGACAAATAAAGAACACAGAGCGAATTCACTTTCAAATGTATGAGTCAATCAGATAATGGCTGAACCAAACCACCCATTTAAAAAAACAAGCAAACTTACCTAGCCACGTCAAATGATTGTGCCTTCTGTAATTTAGTGTTTAACTGTGACCCTGGACCAGATCTACTAAAGGAAGAACTCTTTGGCAATGTGGCTGCTGAAAAAATAAATAAATGTTGAATAATTTTAATTTTACAAAAGTAAGAAACATTTCCCTATTTATAAAAATTAAAATGCATAGTTATCAAATCTGAGGCAGAAATTATTCCTCCCTTCTTACCATTCCAGACTCAAAAAGTTATTCCCTCCTTGCTTCCTGCCCTCTAGCCAAAAGTGTTTTACTAGTTCCTTCAGAAAATCACCTTACTAGGTAGTAATGTTTACATCCATAAAATCTGACTCTTCATTAGACACTTAGTATCACATTTTAGAGGATCTGTTCCAATAGTTAAAGAAATAACAGCTTAAATAGATAGCTGGCATATTCTTAACTGCACTGAAGGAGCTGAAGTATTAGTTCCAGATGTAAGGGCCAAGAAGTCACAGACTTGTCTTGGCCAGATGACACGTGATGTCAGGAAGGGCCAGCTTTTGTGTCTGAGTCTCATTCAAGCTGGTTAGCTGTGTGTCAGGAGAAAAACTTCGAGCCTTAACCAACATTCCCTTCAAACTTGCCTACTGTCTTGCAACATTTGCGGCAAAAGAAAACAAGACACAGTGAGGGGATTCACTGCTACTACTGGAAAAATAATTACAAGCATTTTCTCAGCTGCCATCACACCTGCAGTCATGGTCTCCTATGAAAGATAAACTACATGTGAAAAGAACATCTTAAAAACAAGAGGTCGATTTGGATTCTGTGGCTATAACTTAGAGACACATCCTGACAGATGTAATAAACGCAGGGGCCTAGGCAGATTCATATATAAGGCTCAAACCCACACTGTCAGTCACTTACGAATTTATTCAGACATATCCGAAGTACTTAAAAAACAAAAAAAACTTTCCATATTGATATGAATCCCTTCTGATTTGTTAGACTAAGACCATCTACACCTACACTCTGCTTTTCTTTAACTAAAGGGAAAAAGACTTTGAATAAAGTCTCAATTAAGCAAGCATGTAATACTATAACCTTAATATATTTAGCCATTCAATAGACTTCCTTCCCCCTCTATGCCTGATTCACTCCACCTCCTCAAAAAAAAGAAAGGCAATGTTCTATTTTTTCCTCCCACATAATTCTACTCCTAAGGGATTGGCTTGTTTATTAGCAATTCATGGCAGCTGAAGAAAAGTAGTAAATGATACATGGAAATAAAAAGTGTTCAAATACTGTTCAAACTTGAGCTGCTCTCATCAAGCCCTTGAAAGGAAATTATGCTCTTGGTTTTGGCTGTTGAGTTCACCTCTGTGTACAATGGCACCCAAAGCTTTATAATTTCATTCTCCTTTCCCTCTCTCTAGCCTAGCTCATCCCCAAAATGAGACATTAAATGAAAAAAAAGAAAAAAATGAAGATGATTTCTTCTGGAATAAAATACCATTTAAATATAATCAGAACGTGAAGACAGAAAACGAGAATGAAGAGTAAAATACAGGTAAAAGTTCAGCCTGTGGCTTCAGCAGGTCACGTACCAGGATGAGTGAATGCAGGCAGAGGCTGTATGACAGGGGGCGTCCCGTTAGCCAGAGGAGGCACTCCTGCCGCAGGAACAGAGGATACTAGCGGGGGAGACATTCCGACAACAGGAATGGAACCCATTGGCACTGGAGCAACAGCGGTCAGCGGTGGCATGCTGGCGATACCTCCCATACCTATGAAGGGAAAAATGCCAACAAAATTCACATGGAACCACATTTCAACATTCAATGATGATTAATCCAGGACTGCATGGAGAAGAAAATCCCTTTCCAGTTGTAATATAGTTCCATTTAAAATATGAATTCAGATTAATCATTTTGAAGGGTAGTAAAAATTGTCAAGGATCATATCAAAAGGGCTCAAGACCCAACTTAAAGAAGGATCTACTGGCCAAAGTTGAGGATCAATAAGAATAATAACTGCAGTGGACTGAAAGCCACCAAAGAGAATTCAATTCATAAATTCACAATGATTTTTTTTAATCTTAATTGGTCACCATAGGCAATCAATTTATTTTGAAAACTAGTACATAAAGGCAGAAAATAAACATTTATCCTGCCTTTCTTTTATATACTGAACCTCAGAGTAATCAAACATTTGATGAGAAAGTTTCTCTTTATAGAAGTATTCTAACCAAAAAATGAAGAAACGATAGGAACTAAAATAGATGTTTCTATTCTTTTAGTTTCTCTATCCTAACTTGTGATATGGTGATATAATAAGAAATATATATCTGGTCTCTGTCCCCAGGTCTTGATTCCTGGCAGAGCTCCTAAAACCCTTTTAATTTCCTGACTGATAGGAACATCTTTTGCCAAAACATTTGGTCTCAGTCCCTGGTTCCTGACACAGAGCTTTTAAGATCCTTGGAATCTCTAGAGTGGTAAGAGTATCTTTGTGTGTTTGATGTGGTGACTGATGGCTGGGGACCCCTAAATAGCTGCAGGATGGGAGCTGGTCACGGGAAAGATCACGGCATGATTAGAGGCTTGGAACTCTCAGCCCCACCCAACTCCCACCTCCACACAGACCTCAGGGGAAGGCAGAGGGGCTGGAGACTGAGCTAACCAAATGCTACCGATTTAATCCATTATGCCTGCATAATGAAACCTCCATAACAACTCCTACATACCAAGGTTTGGAGAGCTTCTAGGCTGGTGAACAAATCCACGTGCTGGGAGGGTGGTGCTCCCCAACTCCACGGGGACAGAAGCTCCTGCCCTCAGGACCCGTCCGGACCTTACACTATGCACCTCTCCATCTGCCTGTTCATCTGTGTCCTTTATGATACGCTTTATAACAAAGCAGAGAATGTAAGTAAATGTTTCCCTAAGTTTGGTGAGCTGTTCTAGCAAATTATAGAAAAGGGGAGAAGAGTTTGGGGAGCCTCTGATTTTTAGTCAAGTCAGACAGAGCATGGGTACCCTGTGGCCCATTACTTGTGACTCAAGTCTGAAGTGAGGGCAGTCTTGTGAGACCGAACCCTTAAACCTGTGGAATCTGACACTGACTACCAGAGTTAGCGTCAGAATTGAATTTAATTATAAGATATAAAGTTAGTGTCTGGAGAGTTGGAAAATTGGTTGGTGTGGTTTTTCTGGACACAAAATTCTTGGCTGATTCTTTCCTTGAGAATCCTAAATATGTCACTCCATTTCCTTCCGGCATGAAGCACTGCTGCAGAAAAGTCTGAAGATATTCTAATTTTCTTTCTCATTAGCCATGTGTTTTCTTTGTCTTTGGGCCCAAATGATTTTTTGTCTTACTAGAATGTATCTTAGTGTTGATCTTTCCAGGTCGATCTTCTCGGGCACATACTATATATATTCGTTCAAATTTAGCTTCAAACCTTTTATGTCAAGAAAGCTGTCTTGAACTAGTTTTTGCCATTTGTTCTGTTCCCTTGCTTTGGTTTCCTTCTTCAGAGGCCCCAACTAACCTACTCAATTCTCTTTGCCTTCAACATTTGCCGCTTTTTCTCAAATTCTTTGTATCTCTTTTTTCATTTCCTTTTAATGTTTGAAATCTTCCTCTTTTTACCTTCTATTTCCTTTCAGATAGTCTCTCTTGTGTTGCTTCTGGCTCACTCTTCATTTCTGAAATGACTCTTTCTTTTATGTCTCATTCTTTCCTGAGTGGTCACCTGATTTCTGGGGTTTTAAAATTCTGATCTATGTTAGTCTTTCATGACTCGCATCATTTTCTTAGTACCTTTCAGCTTGTTTTGAAATAGTAGGTTACTGATGTGCTGTCATCGTCCACAGGGGTGTTACTCGGCTCTTCATCCTCTTTTTTCTAATAATAACCGTGTGTGGGATTTGACCTTGGCCTGATACTGCCTGATGCTCCTTTTGATATGAGCCTTGACTCCTGGGATTTCCAGGCTCGTTCTCCTCCCCCACTTTGGTCTGGACCTTCTCCTCCTTCTGTCTCTGTGTCGGTGCCCTGCTTAATTTTTATTCCACTCCCAGTCACTTCTCCTCAGTGTGAGATCCTGTCCCCAAAGGCAGCCTTGTTGGGCCAGTGCTGAGAGTTCACAGGGACCAGATCTTGCAGGTCTTCTTATTCTCTAACATCATAATTTTTCCATTTTAAGTTACCTACTCAGCTCCTAAATTGCCACTGCAAAGACTATCATCCTTGTGCCAACTGACTGCCTTTTCTGAATGAATGAGTGTTTTCTGAATACTTCTAAATAAACACACCTACCAGAGGCTGTGTTTTAGATGCCATCCCTCATGACGGTGCTAAGTCTCAATTCCTGAAGTTTTACCCTCTCTCCTCAACCACTGACGGAAGCACTTCCCACCATAAACACACCATTCTTCAGCTGACATGCTCCCCTTACAGTTAAACCCTCCCCTCTTCCAAGCCTCCAGCGGGCTCCTGTCCCTACCACTCCAAGGAAACGGTTCGTCAAGGTGAGGTCCAAGCTCGTCTTGCCAAATCCAATCACTTTTCTGTCCTATTCTTACTCAGTCCCTCAGAAGCAACTTGAACAATGGGGCACTCCCCTCCGAAACACTTCCTTGGCTACTAGGACACCAACTTCCTCCCACTTCACTCTGTTTCTGGCTTCTTCCCTTTCACTAGAGCTTTAAATGTCACAGACCGCCAAGGCCTGGACCTAGGTCTTCCGCCTACTCTAAAGCTACACTGCGTCAACCTAAGTAAAGAGGAAAACTGAGGCAAACTTGAATTACCAGAAGTTGAGTTTATGCAGTAATAGCAGAAGAACTGCAATTCTGATATGCCTGTTTTTTTTTGGGGGGGGGGGTGGGCACCACGCGGCATGTGGGATCTTAGTTCCCCAACCAGGGATCGACAACCCTGCGCCCCCTGCGTTGGAAGCGTGTAATCTTAACCACTGGACCGCCAGGGAAGTCCCAAGAATTGCAATTCTGGACATGCCAACTGCGGTAAGCTACAAGTGAGACCTCTGAGGCTTTGGGGTGGGCTGGATATATGGGCAAGGATCACAAAGAGGAGGGAATTCAATTAGAGTCCAAGCAGCAAGTTCATTGGCTTGAGGAGGAGAAGAGACTTTTGCAGGATGTTCGTTAGTCAAGGGATCAGTTTCGATTTTCTATAAATGCCTGACCAGTCCCTTGGTCCTTAAGTTTCATTTTCCTGAGGACCCATGCATGAGATTCTCCATTTTATATCCTCTGGTTCCATTTAAGATTGAAATCTTCACACTTCTCTCTAAGATACCATATCCAGCCCCGGGGCTTTCAATGCCATCCGCACCCAAACTCACCCGGAACTGACAGATCCCTCCTGAGTTGCAGACATACAGATTCACCTGCCTCCTTCACATCTCGACTTGGAAATCAACGAGGCCCCTCAAACTTGAAATGGTCAAAATCTGATTTATTTTTTTCTCCACAATACAGGATATCATGAATCTAATTCTACCCTATCTTCCACGTTTATTATCACCACCCAGATCTAAATTACCATAACCTTTTGCCTATGGAAAAAGCCTCCTTACTGATTTCCCTTTTACTCTTGTTCCCCTGCAATAGTCTTCAAATAATACAAATGACAAAACAACAAACAAAAAATAACAACACCAAAGAAACAAAAATAGTCTTCAGATAACACAGATTTTTTTTCTAAGTGTCTATTAACCATGTCACACCCCTGCTTAAAAGCTTTCTACTGCACTTAGACAAAAATGCTAACTCTTTAGTGGTTTTATCAGGCCCCAAACCACCTGCCTCCTGCCTTACCTCCCTGACCTTAAGGCCTAAGGATACTTCAGCTACAAGGGAAGTATCTCATTTTTGTTCCTCTCACACACCAAGCTTTGCCTTAGGACCTGTTGCTTTTGCCTGGGGGTCTTCTCCCCTCACGAGGCTCTCATGCTTAAGTCAGCTCAAAAGTTATCTCCTCGGAAAATTCTCCCCTAACCACCGGGTCCTACTTGTCTCTATCATATTACCCCGTTTTATGGAATTATTTGTTTGCTTCCCCCAACTTGTCAACAAGCTCCACAGCAACAGGAGCCATGATGTCTTGCTCACCACCATCTTCCCAGCAACTAGGACACACAATCAGGGCTTAAAAATATTGATTGGTTTGACTTAATAAAACCATGGACTCTGGCAAAAACAAAAGCAACAACCTCCCCCTGAAACAGTTGAGTCCAGAGTATAAGAAGAATGATGCTGTGTGCAAATACACTGAAGGAAGAAGGTATGAGGCATACTCACAGAATGTCCTTAAACACAGTTCGGTACCCTTAGGCAAATCACAATATCACTGCACCCCATTTTCCTCTTCTTAACAAAAATGATTATTCAACCCCTAGCCAGCCTTAATTCCACAGTGTGTTAACATTTGCATTAACCTTGGAAGAGTGACAATGCCCCATGTCACCCTCATGATTTAGTGATAAGGAAGGTGGGAAGAGAGAAGGAAATAAGGAAACCAAGAGCCTTCAGGAAAACTGAGTTTGAACAGGCTCCACCTCCCTTTCAGAAACATGGTCTCAAGCAAACTGTTCAACTTCTTGGAATCTCAGGTCTCTCGTTTGTATAAGAGAGCCAATAATCTCTGCATACTTTTAGGGTTACTGTTGTGACCCGATAAAATACTATATGTAAAGACAGACCACAGGGCTAGGAAACCCATGGTCAGATAATGTCTAATATTAATTAGAAAATAATGATAATAGTAATAAATTATGTTCTCAAGTAGCCAGAAGAAGTATAAGAAAAAAAAATTACCTTGGCAAAGGCCAGACCTTTTTTTGTTTTGTTTTTTTGCGGTACGCGGCCCTCTCACTGTTGCGGCCTCTCCCGTTGCGGAGCACAGGCCCCGGACGCGCAGGCTCAGTGGCCATGGCTCATGGGCCCAGCCGCTCCGCGGCATGTGGGATCCTCCCGGACTGGGGCACGAACCCGTGTCCCCTGTATCGGCAGGCGGACTCTCAACCACTGTGCCACCAGGGAAGCCCCAAAGGCCAGATCTTTGAGTAAACTTGGGCAAAGTGGATTAAGACCATGTACTTTTAACTTCTCTTTATTTTCTATAATTCCCTCATGATTTATCTTCTTGAAAACAGTTTACTGAGAAGGGTGATGTGACGAGAAGGAGGGGAGGGAAAGCAGTGGAGAAGCTGGGGGTAAGAGCTAAGGTCTGGCTGGCAGGAGGGCAGCTAAGAAATCCTGGCTTCCCTTAGAGGCCGGGGCAGGTTACTCAGCTGACTGTAAAACCCTCTGGGCAGTGAGGCCACCCCTCCTGAAAATAAATCGGCACTATCCCTAGCGTTGAAATTCCTATAGCAGGATGGACTAAGACGAGACATATTATATGTCAGAGGAAGAATTACTGACACCCGGGTTTCTGGGAAAAAGAGGCAATGGGATGCCTGTGGTTATCTGACCCTTTCTCCACTCCGAGGTTTCTTCTTGCAGCCCCGGAAGGGAGGCCAAAAGAAAACCAAACACCCTTTAGCTGTTTTGGGTTTCGACCAAACGCTGGCTACAGGGCCCTTCAGAGATTCAGAGTAACTTCTACTTTTAACTAAGCTGGTTAACTGAGGACTAGAAACCGCGAACACACGATGGACAAGATCAACAGGGGCCCTGGTCCCTTGCAGCCTATGGCACTGCTCACCTCTGCTCTTCCTGGCCTTTGCTCTCACGTGACTTCTTGAGTTTTCCTTCTTCTCTTGGATCAATGTCCTACTTGCCTAACCCAAAACCTGTAACTTTCCCCATAAAATATCCAGACTTGCGGCTCAACCTCACCAAAAGAAAGGCAATGCATAGTTTGTTTGTTTTTAATAGTGAACCTTTAAGTAAAAGCATAGCATTCATTTATCTCAGCTTATCATTAATTGTATCAGAGACAACCTGAATGACTATTGACTGTCCCCTCCCAAACCTCCTTCACTTTACTCCCTGTCATCAGATACATCAGGATGAAGAGAGAGAAGGAAACTCTATCCACAATTTTTGTGTTTTGTTTAAACTGTCTAAGAACTTTCCCATGAATCAGATGTTGGATCTGATTACTGTAATCTTTAAATCAACCTACATAATTAAAGTCTAGGGTGAGAACAGAGAAGAAATCAGAACTGTTGGTGATCTTAGCTGACTAATTACCATTTAATTTTTAAGAAAAACATCTGACTAAAAGACAGCTTTTTATGGAATTATGTTTTAAATTGGGATAATAATGGATTTTTTTCCCTGTGGAATTTTGTTCTAAGAAATAACTTAGGACTTCCCTGGCAGTCCAGTGGTTAAGACTCGGCACTTCCAATCCAGGGGGTGAGGGTTCGATCCCTGGTCCGGGAACTAAGATCCCATGTGCTATGTGGCGTGGCAAAACAAAAAAACAAAAAAACTTAATATGGCCAATTGCCTCATTACTGTGAATAAAATACATATTTCTTAATACCATAAAGAAAAGGAGCACAAGGAAACATAAAGATGCTCTGGAAACACAAAACCTTTCAAAAGGAAGTATGTGACAACGTGAAAGGTCAAGAATCCAATAAGAGCAAGAAAGAAACAGAAGATGCAGCAGGACACTGCAAGTTTGTTCCTTTTTCCCTGACAATCTGCACCTTTGATTTCATTTTTTGTTGGTGTTCTGTAAGAATTTAATGTGTAAACAAATACAGAAAAATAAGCATTACAGCAACAAAACAGGTTTGCATCTTATATAGAAATTTTAAAGACAATTCACCAACAAGTATGAGGTTAATCTCTGTATTAAAGCTTACCTTCTTATAGAATAATTTAGCAGTCTCTGAGATTTTAAGCCAGAAAAACAAGACTCATGCTGGTAAAGCAACCTGCAAATACCTTCTGTCTGTTCTCACAATTAGTCTACTTTAAACATAAAAAGACCTTCCAAAGGAGGAAGACACTGCACTTAACGGAGATTGCTGGGACCTCCCTGGGAAATCCTTGCCCATAGGAGACGCTTTACCACCTGCAGGACTAAAATGGTGGCAACAAATTGAAAGCCAGGAAAAGATTCCTGTAGCTTTGGTGTACTTGCCCAATTTAAGTGTTACCTTCAGATGTATAATAAAGCAAGTAAACAGAACCATAAAGATAAGCTTTCTATAAATTAAATGGTATTTGGCTATAGTACTAAGGAGGTGAGAGAATAAGAAATTTATGTTAATTATCAATCATAAATGACTACTTGCCCATTGCAACTGAAAACTGAGGACTCTAAGTATGGCAGATTGCTAATACTTTAGAGTGTTTTATTCATGTTTTCCATTGAGAATCGTTAAAATGTTTAATAAGCTCCTTTAACTAAGAAATCACATAGGGGCTTCCCTGGTGGCGCAGTGGTTGAGAGTCCGCCTGCCGATGCAGGGGACACGGGTTCGTGCCCCAGTCCGGGAGGATCCTGCGTGCCGCGGAGCGGCTGGGCCCATGAGCCATGCCCGCTGAGCCCGCGCGTCCGGGGCCTGTGCTCCGCAACGGGAGAGGACGCAGCGGTGAGAGGCCCGTGTACCGCAAAAAAAAAAAAAAAAATCACATAGGATCAAAACAATACTGAACTAACAATGGTCCTCACACCCATACTGCGTTATCTGAGGAAATATTACAATTCAAAGTGGTCTTTTTCCTGAGAAAGCCATGTTACAAAATGGCACAAGACAATACACATTTTCTCCATTTTTTTCCACCAGCAAATAAGAAGGGAAAATCAGATTATAATATATTTTATGAGGAAAACATGTTTGTTTCTTAAAACTGTTTTCAATCACTTTTCCGTCTACGATTTTTTTTTTTTTTTTTGCGGTACGCGGGCCTCTCACTGCTGTGGCCTCTCCCATTGCGGAGCACAGGCTCCGGACGCACAGGCTCAGCGGCCACGGCTCACGGGCCCAGCTCCGCGGCATGTGGGGTCTTCCCAGACCGGGGCACGAACCCATGTCCCCTGCATCGGCAGGCGGACTCTCAACCACTGTGCCACCAGGGAAGCCCCATCTACAATTTTTTAAAGGGTGAGAACCAAATTTAAATTAAGAATGACCATTTCTACAAGGTGAGAGAATGAATACATATGGTAAACTTTGTACTTTATATTAAAGTGAAGAAACTAAGGCACAGAAAAGTTAGTCAAGCTCAATTTCAAGGTTGAGTTTAATAGTAAAGGTAGAAATAGAATCTAGGGCTCTGATTCTCAGGTTAGAGGGTAATGGGTGGTATCTTCCCAAGACGGAAACATTTATTTCTTTTGGTGGGTAATGTTCATAAATCATTTTTAAAATATATAATACGAATTTCCTTGAAAATCTTTGGCATATGTGAGTCACTGGAGGCTGAAGTTTATAGAAATCCTCTCCCCCACCCCAATACAAAAAGGCAGGGGAGCTAGTTTTTAAATGAATCAAAAAAGATTAATCTTGAATGGATAAAGAAGATGTGGCACATATATACAATGGAATATTACTCAGCCATAAAAAGAAACGAAGTTCAGTTATTTGTAGTGAGGTGGATGGACCTAGAGTCTGTCATACAGAGTGAAGTAAGTCAGAAAGAGAAAGACAAATACCATGTGCTAACACATATATATGGGATCTTAAAAAAAAAAAAAGGGTTATGAAGAACCTAGGGGCAGGACAGGAATAAAGACACAGATGTAGAGAATGGACTTGAGGACATGGGGAGGGGGAAGGGTAAGCTGGGATGAAGTGAGAGAGTGGCATGGACTAATATATACACTACCAAACGCAAAATAGATAGCTAGTGGGAAGCAGCCGCATAGCACAGGGAGATCAGCTTGGTGCTTTGTGACCACCTAGAGGGGTGGGATAGGGAGGGTAGGAGGGAGATGCAGGTGGGAGGGAGATGCAAGAGGGAGGAGATATGGGGATATATGTATATGTATAGCTGATTCACTTTGTTATAAAGCAGAAACTAACACACCATTGTAAAGCAATTATACTCCAATAAAGATGTTTTTAAAAAAAAGATTAATCTTAATTTCAAAGTGACCTGAGTTTTATTCTGCATTGTTATAGAAATCAATTGGATAGCTGAGTCCTGTGAAACGTAACAGAGGGCACTACACCTCACAGATTACACACACATGCATCCTGCAGTGAGGTTTATATGACTAGAACTTAGTCCACATTTTTATAAAGTACAAAATTAAATCTCAGTCTAATTTTTCATAAGCCAATGACTCAAAGATATCAAACTTGTTACAGTGGGATGATTAATTCATATATTGTATGCTATGGAGTTAGCCCCCAATTCAGGTATTTTTAATATTCATCCCAGGCCTTTGTATTGGTTGAGATGTAAGCTGTGAAATTTATTTATTTGCTTTCATTTTGATTACTCTCATCCCAGGGTTAGAATGTGACCATGCTTCTTCCCTTCCATCATTATCTTTCTGCACAGGGCCATCATTTTTCAGACAGAATACCTCCTAGAATTTCACAATGCTACAGACTGAGAGAGGAGGGTGGGAGAAGGGAAATATTTATTTTAAAAACATGTAATGAAATATAGGAACCAATTCCTTTTCAGACTCACCAAACGCTGGTGCACTAGAAATAGCAACTGGTTGCTGTTTCATGACAGGGGGAAGTGCGGAGGGGAGCTGATATCCTTGTAGCTTCAGTTTGATGAGTTTCATAGCTATGGAAAACTCCACTTGATCCATTCTTCCATCATTATTCATATCAGCAAGCGCCCTGCAAACCAACAGCATGGGCTTAGAATGACTGTGACCTTAAAAGAACCTTTCCCAAACCACCACTCCCACCCACACAAAAACTAAATAATCAGCTCCCTCGGTCCCGGGGAAAACGAAACAAAACAAAACTTGTTTACCAAGCTGTAGGGAAAAACTGAAAAGGTTTTATATAAATATGAAATATGTTTTATTGTGTTACTCTCTACTTTTACGATACACATGGTAATTTTCAGTCAGAATGTCAGGATATATACCATGGACATCAAATGGGGTTTCTTTCTGGAGTGATAAAAATGTTCTAAACTGGGTAGTGGTGATGGTTGCACAATTCTGGAAAGACTAAAAACTAATGAACTATACACTTTAAAACTGCGACTTTTGTTATGTGAATTATGTGACAATAAAGCTATTAGGAGGAAAAAAGTATTTAGAAACAGAGTTTATTTCTAGATACTTGATTAGATTGCATCAACTCCTCTGTGGGGTTCTACAAACCTCACCATGGGGATGTGACACACTATGCTCTACTATACTATAATACTAGCATACTTTCAAAGCTCTGGAAATTCATTAAATGACCTTACAAATGCAGTTACTATTTGAAAGTGGTACTCAAACAAATGGTCAAGTCAACTTCCAATGAGTTATTATGTAAAGCATTTCTCTCAAATAAGAGTAAGAGAAAGGAAGAAAGGGGTTTGTACTTGCAACTGGAAACTACATTTTTGCTAACTGAAACTGTGCATATTCATGATTTAACCTCTTCTGCACAAAATATGTTCATTCAGATTTCATTTGTTGAAGTCTAGATTTTAAGGGCATAAGGATTTATTTTTTAAACCTTTCTTAAGAAAAGTTTTATTTGAAACTTCAAATGTTAAGACCAGCTACTCCAATTACAATGCCATCATTGGCAATGTTTTAAATGAGCCACATAAAGATTGTGTCCTCAAAAGAAAATTAAGCTACATAGAAAATAACCCTACATTTCTAGAGTTAACTCAAAGTAAGAAAACATGAGGCACAGTAAAAAGTGTAATAATACAACAAAGATCAAAAGTCTTTAAAAATGTTAAGAATTGTAATAGTCAACACTATTCTTCAGGAAAAATTTTAATGGTCATAAAGTCATAAAGGGAACCCCATGGCTACAGAAACCACCCTTCTGCCTCAGATAGGAGTGCCCCAGGCCTCCTGTGGTCAATGACCGCCTTCAGCATACCACACCAGTGGAATCTGAATTTCACTCATTTCTAGTGGCCTTGAGCATCGCTTGCCATGTTTCTTGGGCACTTGGACTCGTGCTTCCATGAACTGCTCATTCACATCCTTTGCCAAGTCTTCTGATGGACTGCATGTCTTTTCCTTGTCAGTTTAAAAGCACTCATTGTATATTACATACCAACTGTTTATCTGTCAGTTGTTGAAAGATTTTTTAAAACTCTGTCCATTTTGTGTGTAATATCTTTAGCATACAGAAATTCTACATTTTTATATGTGTAAAATATTTCTTTTATCACATAGCTTTCTTTTCTAAGATGGTATTACTTTATTACATTTCAATCTTTAAACCAACTGTAATTGCATATATGTGTGTGGTATGTTACCCCAGGGTTCAACCAGATTTCCTTCAGGTGGATACCTAGGGTTCCCAGCAATGTTTATTAACCAATCCATCCTCTTCTCATTGAAGTAAAAAGAAATATTTTGGGGGTTCATTAAATGTCCATATGAAAGGAGATCTATTTCTGGATTATCTACTCTGACTGAACAATTCCCAGGTCAATGTGACAATAATCTGATCCCACTGACTCTATGGTATGTTCTGGTATCTGGCAAGGCTTTTTTAAAAAAAACTTGTTGGATGGACCTAGAGATTGTCATACTGAGTAAAGTAAGTCAGACAGAGAAAGACAAATATCATGTGATGTCGCTTACGTGTCGAATCTAAAAAAAGGGTACAAATGAACTTATCTACAAAACAGAAATAGAGTCACAGATGTAGAAAACAAACTTATGGTTACCAGGGCGTAAGGGCGGGGGGAGGGATAAATTGGAAGATTGGGATTGACACATATAAACTACTATATATAAAACAGATAACTAATAAGGACCTACTGTATAGCACAGGGAACTCTACTCAATACTCTGTAATGGCCTATATGGGGAAAGAATCTAAAAAAGAGTGGATATATTTATATGTATAACCGATTCACTTTGCTGTACACCTGAAACCAACACAGCATTGTAAATCAATTATACTCCAATAAAAAAAAACACAAAAACTTGTTTGGCCATTCACAGACATTTCTTTTTCCCTATTAACTTTTAATTTATCTATTCTATAAACAACTCTAATGAAAATCAAAATGGAACTGCATTAGATACATGAATTTTTAGAGAACTGACTTTTTTTTTTTTTTTTTTTCGCGGTACGCGGGCCTCTCACTGTTGTGGCCTCTCCCGTTGTGGAGCACAGGCTCCGGATGCGCAGGCTCAGCGGGCAAGGCTCACGGGCCCAGCCGCTCCGCGGCATGTGGGATCCTCCCAGACTGGGGCACGAACCCGTGTCCCCTGCATCGGCAGGTGGACTCTCAACCACTGTGCCACCAGGGAAGCCCGAGAACTGACATTTTTATGATAGTTAGTTCAGAAAAATAGTATGTTCAGTTCTAATATTTCCTTTAATAAGATTACATCACTTCCTTCATATAAGTAACTACTTTTCTTGTTAAATGTGTTCTTAGGAATTTTATCATTTCTGTCACTCTTCTAAATAGAACATGTCCCCCATTTCCATATTTAGGTGCTTATTTCAAGCATAGAGAAGAATTTTGCTTTTAATAATCATTTATGCTGGGTGTATTGAGCAATCTTACCAAACTTCTGTGAATCTTACACAATCACAAAACTAGCAAAAAAGAGAGTTATCTTTCGTTTCCAATATTTATACCATTCCTTTTTATTGTAAATAAATAAATATTTACTTCTATTTATTTGGTTGCACCGGGCCTTAGTTGTGGCACATGGGCTCCTTAGTTGCGGCATGTGGGATCTAGTTCCCTGACCAGGGATCAAACCCGGGCCCCCTACATTGGGAGCTCAGAGTCTTAACCACTGCACCACCAGGGAAGTCCCCACCATTCCTCTTTCCTGTTGGTCTTACTGCCTCTATGACATTACTAAGTGAGCATCCCTGCTTGGTTTTGAGTTTAAATTAAATGGTTTTTTTTTAAAAAATGACTACAGTGTTTCATTGTTTAGAATAATATTTGGTACTGATTTTTAGAAAGTAATCTGACATATTTAAGCGGTTCCCTTTTCTACTTATTAGAAATGGTTACTATACTTTTTATCAAATGCTTAGTCAGCATCTGCTGATCTGATCCCACATTTTCTTTTTCCTTTTATCTCCTGATATAATAATGTTGAGGGAATTCCTTGATTCTGAACCAATCTTGCACCCCTGGCATAAACTCAAGTTGGTCATAGTTTTTGTACATTGTGGAATTCTATTTGCTAAGATTTTGTTTTGATTTTCTGTGTCTACGATCATAATTGAGACTGGTCTCCGGCTGCTTTATGTTTGTACTGTTTTTCAGGTTTTATAAAGGAAACTAAATCAATAAAATGAAATGGTGAGCTTTCTCTCTTTTACCAAATTTTTTTTTTTTTTTGCGTCACCACGCAGCATGAGAGATCTTAGTTCCCCAACCAGGGATCGAATCTGTGCCCCCTGCAGTGGAAGCACCAAGTCTTAACCACTGGACTGCCAGGGACGTCCCCAAAATATTTTTAAAAAGATATTCAGCTATTTCAAATGGTTTTCATGGATAAAAAAAAACCTCCCAACAATCAACACTGACATGCATACTTAAAAAAAAAAAAAATCAGGCAGATAGATTCCCACTCCCTATTCCCCACACTACTGTCCCCAAAATATGTTTTCTAGAGAGAAACAAAAATACCCAGTGTGGGATAATGAGTAGGTTATGAGAGAAGAGACTTTCTAGTAATGGTTTAATTAGGAGAAGCCTCAACAGGAGAGGAGAGGAAACACATAATGCTCAGGTTCTAGACATCCACCAAAATTCCAAAACTTTTTTGACAATTTTGTGTGACCTTTTTAAAAAAATTATTTTGCTCAACTAACAGAATATAACTGTTGGGACTACTTTGTAGTAAAAACTCAAAGGTCTTTTAGAACTATAGCAGTTACTCCTACAAAGCTCAACTCTCCCCACCCCCTCCTAATATACTGGAGTAGATCTGGAATTCAATTTCTCAAATCTCTGCAAAATATGATTTCAGCTCTGCTGTCCAGTTCATCTCTTATTTATAGTTATTTCTCAGTTTACTCATTTCTTTCTTTTTAATGAAAGGTTTTTTTATAATTTATTTTATTTATTTATTTATTTTTGGCTGTGTTGGGTCTTCGTTGCTGCGCATGGGCTTTCTCTAGTTGCAGTGGGCGGGGGCTACTCTTCGTTGTGGTGCGCAGGTTTCTCATTGTGGTGGCTTCTCTTGTTGCGGAGCATGGGCTCTAGGCGTGCGGGCTTCAGTAGTTGTGGCACGTGGGCTCAGTAGTGGTGACTCGCGGGCTCTAGAGCGCAGGCTCAGTAGTTGTGGCGCACGGGCTTAGTTGCTCCGCAGTATATGGGATCTTCTCAGACTAGGGCTCGAACCCGTGTCCCCTGCATTGGCAGGCGGATTCTTAACCACTGCGCCACCAGGGAAGCCCAGTTTACTCATTTCTAATAATCTCCCCAAAAGACTAACTAAAAGTCTGGGGATCCTGAAATTAAATTCACAAAACTTCCAAAGTTAAAAAGAAAGTATGATAAAAAATATTTTTAATAAAAAAATAAGACAAAATAGCTATCTATGACTCCTGAAAACAAACTGATCTTAAATACAGTGTTTAGTCTGATATTAAAATCTATATATAAGGACTGCCCTGGTGGCGCAGCTGTTAAGAATCCACCTGCCAATGCAGGG